TTTACTTTAATTTCCGAAAAAAATATATTTTTAGGTAAACCATTTTTTAAAAATGAAAAAAAGGCGAAAATGCAAGAAAAAAATTTTTTTGTTTGGGTTTGGTTGGTTCCCTTCCCCGGGAACCCCCCTGGGGGTAATCGGCGTCTTCGGGCCCCTGGGGGGTCCCCCGGGAGGAAAATTCCCGGGCCCCCAACCCCAACTAAAGGGCGATATTAAAATTTAAATTTTTTTTTTGGCTTTTGGGCAAAATAGTTTTTTTCCCTTTTTTTTCACCCAAATTTAAAATTTGTTCGATTGTTTATGATGCAGCTTTACTTAAAAATATAGATATGCTCATAAATCCATCTGAATTTTAAATTTTTAGCAACTGTATATTTATAAAAAAAGTGCAATGCAATAATTTAATGGTTCGGTCATGTTGGACTATTACGTAGCCGATTACGTTAGTGAAATGCCCAAAGGGATAGTTTCTTTAATTTGATTGCGCAATAAAAGGAACACGTTATCCTAACTATTTTTACTTTCGATATTAGCGCAAGATAGCTTATAAATATTTTCTAAAAAATCATTTGTTGAGGCTTTTTACAAAAAATTAATTTCGGTGCTAGGTTGAAGTGCATTTTCAGTTTTTACATAAACTCGTTTTAAAAAATACATTTCCTAGATACCATATAGAATCTACTGTATATTAATAATAAAATTTATCGACCTAACGATCTACATGTAGCTAGAAGTTGTTAAACCTAAAATGATTAGATGTATTAATAAAGGTTTAGAAACGTTTTCATTTTGCGCGCGTTTAGCGTGGCGTATATCGTTTAGTGTATTTCGTTTAGCGTATATCGTTTTTGCGTGCGTCTGCGTATTTCATTTCGTTTTGCGTGCGGTAATAACGTGCGTTCGTATAGCGTGTAACCGGTGCCTTTTGCGTGTAAACTGACACGTTCACCCTACTGTAAGCATGTCCTATTCATCATCATCAACATCATCATTAAAAACCATCATCATTAATGTGAAAATAATTACCATATTATAATCATAATCTTTCCGAAGTGCTATATCTGTTGAGAGCTGTATGATGCGTTCATGTTAAACTGCTACATATCGCTTTATTTTCGACTTTACGTTTAAAAACATAAAAAAAACGAATATATGGTATTTAGAAAATGAGCACCAAAGCGACGGACTACAAGTATGCAACTGTTTTTATAGATCTCCAAAATCATTGATGAGCAAGTAGATAAAACCAATGAAAACAATAAAATTACAGGGAAATGATAGACTGTTGAATTAAGTATTGTCCTGGTGGTTTGAACGCCCCACCGGCCCTTCCAATGACCTTTGGCTACAGTAGCATTCAATCTTTAACCCAAAATGTTATCACGAATTATAGTAGTGCATACTTTTACGTGCATGTATAAAATGATGATTCAATTTGTTCCTTAGTGTGCGATAACATTTAATATTTGATTGGACTAAAACAAATTATTGTACGTTTACGTAACAACATGTATCATCACCAACAATTGTGTTGCAGTATCTGTTTGGCAACGTTGTCATGGAAACAATATCAAATAACAAATAAAAAAAAAATGTTAACTTCATAATGATGTTTATTTTAGGAGATCTACTTAATTTTATTTTGAAAAACCCAATTCGGTTCAGTTTTTTTAAAAAATTTTAAAGTGTATTTTTTGTATCTTGTTTAATACGAAATTTATTTTATGTTTTTAAAAAGCAGAAAAAACCTCTATTTTTCAATTTTGGATTTTTAAATTTAAAAAAAGCAAAAAAATAAAATTATTTTTTCCCTATTCACATTACGTTTGGCTTAACCTTTATACCAATACATTATCAAGACTATCACTTGTCAATTTCAGAAATTAATACACATCCTGGTTTCTCGCAGATGACCATAATCAATGTTATTTTCTTCTGTCTTGCATTACGATTATCCTATTGAAGTCCAAATCAGTTTTCAACAAGCCTAGTAACGTCCTAGTATCGGTTTATATAAAATAATGGGTGACATTTGTATATCAAAAAGTTTTAAAACAAAGAAAGACGAATCAGTTTTGAACGACCCTTTTTAGAATGACTGAATTTTTTTCCCTTCCGTTCTAAGTACATTGGGGACTGCCATTCCCAAGTTTTTTTGACGAAATAATAAATTTTTGAATGAGGTTCCAAAAATAAAATATACATAGATTCGAATAATTATTAATAAGTGTATTTTATTGTAGAATTATCAATCGTTGTTCTATTTCAACTCAAAGTAAAACTACAAACCGCTTGCCGCCTGTTATTTAGCTTGGTAGTTTTCAAATATGATAGAACAAAACACGATTTGCGGGTTTTTAGCCCACGGTCATTGCTCTGCGACACATGTTTATTCAATGAATTTAATTAAAGTTTTATTTTGTCAAAAATGTAATACCGTTTAAAGGGACATAAGCAATATGTACCCTTTTATAAGATGAAGGTTCTTATTCATTTACCCCTTTTTTTAATTAAAAAAAAAATGTATTTCTCTTTGTCTTTTTTCCCCTTATTTTCATAAAAGTTTAAAAAAACCCAAAAAACCCGTCAAAAAAATTTTATAGCCGAAAATTACAAAAATAAAAATTTAATTTTATTTTTATCACGTTAATTGTTAAAAATATTTGAAAAAAACAGCTTTCAAAGATATACGATTTTAATCATAAAAGAACGCGTCATTTCGGGAAAAATTAAGTAATTTCAAATTTTTTGTTTACCCTTTTATAAAAGTCATATTCTTTTTTTAAAAAATTGAACAGGTAAAAAAAATTTAAAACGATTTTACTCAAGTTTCTTTATCAGATGATTTTGATTTACCTTTTGTATTTTTTTCGATTTTTGGGGGAAACTTAATTTTATTTTGTGTTTTATTAAAACCCCAAATTTATTAGTTTTAACCCCCCGATATAAATTTATTTTTGTGGCCCGTCAAAAAATTTTTGTTTTTTTTTTTTTTTGTTTTTTAAAAGAAAATGATGTATTTTCATTTCCAAAAAAAGTTACCAATTCAATTTCGTTTATTATTGCCTTTGTCTTTATTTCTTTTTAACAGTGTTTGCAATTTTTTTTTAATTTAAAAACAAATCGATATAATGATTGCTAGGTCCCTAAAAGGGAAATGCAAACAATAATCTTAGACATGTAATTATGATTTTTTTTCTGAATCTTTGCAAAAGCAAGACCATATTAGTATGTTGAATGCATTTAAATATAATTCAATCAAAACTATTACTTTGTAAAAGAGATGTCTTTACACAAGTTTGGTTTTATCATACTATTATATTCACATGTTGTTATTATGATTATGTGTTATGGTGATATTGTAATGCATTGTAATATTTTGGGCATTTTGTAAATACTGTTATGCTCGTCATTCTTGGCGGAACAATATATCTATCTATCTGATTTACTTATTTAGATGGACGATAATTCCTTGATTCGAAATAGCTTTTAAAATTATATTATATTCCATTTTTAACAACAAAAATGAAATACATTTTATTTCACTTAATAAATCTCATCTGCAAATGAAATATATTTTGGATATTAGTATATTATAGGCTATGCAGCAAAGTAGCAATGGCGTAACAAAGAAAATCAACAAAATTTGATTTTAACATCATAATGCAAAATAGTATAGAAGAAACTAAATGAAATAATTGAATGTTCATTATTAACAAAAATATGCTTTTGTGTGTTTTGAAATGTTTAAATTGTAGAAACGTTAATGTTCTCAGAAAATAAATAACCCTTTGCAGGCAATATTTTCCCGCTTGAAAATGTTAACATCGTGAAATTGACATCATTGTAAATACATTTATGTCAAACAGATGCAAAATTTATTCGGATCCATTTTAAAACAATAAGTGTTAATAACAACTATATTAGTTAAGAGGCTTATATAGTTTATACATAAAACCTAATCAAAGATGCATTGCGTCCAGAGGACGTTCCTCTCCCTTGTTTATATGTAGGCTTATTAATACTTGGTTCTAAACAAAATGGAGTTTCGAAAAGGGATTGGATGTTATGAAGCCTATATGTCACAGACAGGATGTCAAAATAATCAATTAAAAGCGGGCAACATATTTGATATTGATTCAATATTATTTAAGTAAGACTATTTCAAAGCCCCAACTTCTTGTATCGAATGGATATTTTGAGTTGAAAAACAACCACAGATGTGCTTTTGGCGGTAACTAACTATGAACTGGTGTGATGGTACCGTTTATATCTCCAGGTAAATCAATTTTGTATCGTAAGCAAAACATAATAAGCAAAATAAAATAATATGGGATTTGGAAAATGATCATAAGTTACAAAGCCGTCATATCATAGGTAAGCCGTTAAAAGACAACATGCATCATATCCTAACATATATCATACAGTACCCAAGGAGAAATACTGGAACAACCCAAGTCCAAAATGAACAAACAAATAACACTAACGTGTTGATACTAGCGGTACTGTCTTGCTGAACGATCTTTAAGAATCAAAGTATGATATCTTTGATTGAATATAACGGGCGACTTTTCATTTCATCCACGTATCAAACTGATATTTTTTGTTGAAGTATTTACAATCAAATATATAATCGATAATATACAGTTTAAGAAGCTTGAAACGGCATTGCATGTTAGAGGTAATTTTTGACACAAAAGTAATTCTTAAAGACATGTGGATTTAAATAATCGAATCAAGAGTCTTTGATCATGTATAACAGACTGGTATCGTGGCTGCATGCTGCTTACCAGCTTTCGAGTAATTAGTTGTGACATTGATACTTAAGCCTTCAGATATTGTCATAGCTGTGAAATTGTGGTTTGATGGTAAGACCGTTCCGAAACATATCCAAAATGTTGGTTTAATCCGTACATGTTTGAAATAAAACGAAGAACGAGACAACTGTTATTCTACTGATAAAGAAACACATATTCGATAAATAACAATATATTACTTACGGTAAGGTGTTTTCTTTAATCCATTCACGGTGTTTTGAATCAAGTTTTATCAAAATTGTGCATAAAGTTCATCTTGAAAATATTTTTATTTTATAAGTGTATATGTAATCACAGTAGCGCATGTTATAACTGAAAACTGATAATATTATTCTTCCAAAGAAGCCAGTACTATATTTTCAATGCTTTCTTTGCTTGAATTAAAATATTTTGAATCGTAATTTGCAAACGCAATTACATTTGCGTTTCGGTTGGATAAGCCGCTTGCCTATGAGCCAATGAAAATTTAACAACTTATACCTTAAGGCTATACAATATTAAATGTTCTATTTTATAGATAATACGTATGAATAAATGATGAAGAAAAGTATTATGCTTCTGTTAGGCTTATTAAAAAACTGCACAAGGTTGTTTTAATAAATCGATATAGTTAATATACTGGAATGTGATCAATCTTCCTTAAGAAACAAAATAAATAAAGCGAATTATGCTTCCTGTTCGACATATGCCTTTTCTAAACTTAATTTAAAGTATATAAACTATTGTTTTGTTCAAAGATATCAATCATGATAAATTTTATTTTATTTTATTTGCTTAGTAAATGTATTTAAGACACATCTAGATTATAATGATGTCTTATTCGACATCATCAGCACCATCATCAAAAATCATAATCTCTTCGCCGAACAATATTTGTGAAAGGTGTATGCGGCGTACATTTAACACTGCTATATATCATTATATTTGCGATCTAACGTATGTGAATATAAAAAAAACATGTGTATATTGACAGTAGATAGCAAATGAACGCATAAACTACAGACTATATGTATGCAAACGTTCATTATCTCCAAAGATATAGATGACATGTAGATGAAATAAAATAAATCAATAAAATTTAATAAATAACAAATTAATAAATAGATAAATAAATAAACAAATTATTAGAACGATTGAAAATGTGAATTAATGAATCAAAGAGATAAGCAAAATGTAAGATATTTTAAATTTGTTCCTCATTTTTGGACACTTTCATCACTTTATGCATTACTTTATGCCCTTACGAAGAGGTTATTCTTATTCACAACGTGAACTAAATGCTATTTTGTAAATATGTGTAAATGAATACCATGTAATATCTATAAAACGCAGTTAAATCGTCTGGTATAATATGTGCTTAAACATTTGCTTATTTTATGTAAATGAACTGTATATTTGCAAGTTATATTGCAAAATATATTCGACCAAAAGTTTAATTTAGAAGAAACAATGTCTGTGACTGGACTGGATATTGCAAAAGCATGGTAACATATAGAATACCCAAATAATAAATAAGAACAAACACGTATAGTCCAGATTCGGTTTCATTGTAGTTAACGGCGGCAATATCAGTGCTATTTTTGTGAATAAGGCATTGTCCTGGTGGAACCACACATTCTTAATGTCTTTTCGCGACGTTCGAGTTCATTTTTTCTTTTCAATGCATATGAAACCACATGTCTTAGGTGTATTTGTATATGCTATTTATTGTTTGTTCCTTTTGTAGACAATCTATCATTATAATATCAAAAGCATCCAAGAAAACCAATATCATTATTAATCTAGGTTTCAGAACATTCTATGCCTTAGTTGGCGATCATTAACCGAAATACTTCCTTTGTGAAAACTTTGTAAAGCCTCTTTGATGAAAAGATGGGTTATTGTTTCATAATTATAATCAGAAAAAGTCGCGTCATCCGTTTAAGGGTTTGCCTGGCATGCTTTTATCAACTAATAAAGTCTTGGAAATAAACGGGTTTGAGCTTTTGTATTGCAAAATGTTTTGCAGAAATTGTCTGTAGTCAATCAGTGAAGGTACAAAAGATACAGTTCAGGCAAATATCTTTATGTATCTATCATATAAGCAATGGCAAAATTATGGACAATGGATGGGTTGCAATAGTGACAGGCTTTTAAATGAACCATTTCCAAAACACAGCCTTACATTCTTTTAAATTCCAAGCTTTTTCCCCTGTAGAAAATGAAGGGAAATCATTCAAATGTTTTGCGCGATACCATTAAGAATATTTTTACGTCCTTTACGTTTTCTCATGTAGCCAAAAAATCACAGTTATTTTAGCATCATCATCAATTTTTCAAATGTATTGTCCACTCAAGAATGTTGCCCCTACAATACATGTCCAATGGAAGCAGTCTTAAGGGAAAAAAATGTTAAACAGACAGGCAATACAAGTAGTCTTCCAAGGGCTTCATCAAATTTATTTCGATTTCAAAAATAAAAAAGAAATCGGGGCCCGACTCCTGATACTTTTAAAAAATATTCGAGCAAAAATGTGACTTTTTAGTTTATTAATGTCGTTTAATAAAAACAAAAACATTTAAAGAATAAAAAAAATTACAAGTCGGGTCTTGTCTTCGCTGACGAAACTCTAGAAATACTCCTTATTATTTTATGAAATAGCATAAATTGGTTAATGAAACAAATTTTAAAAACTGTTCTCTGCTATTTTTTGCATTTAAAAGGGTAAAGCTAATTTAAAAGTGGGGGAAATTTTTAAAATCTCCCCTTAAATTATGAAATGGGGTTTTAAAAAATGTGATAATTTGGAATGCCACTAAAGGATAAAAATCATTCTCTACAGTGACCATGAATTTGAAAAAAAAACAACATTTAATGGTTGTTAAAGTGGGCAGACAAAATGTGTCCCTGATATGCTTTTGCGGCATTTTTAATAATAAAAACAACCCTTTAATTATCTAACAGAGTACAATGGTTTTTCTAATATAATGCAGCATACCAAAATGATAAAAATATTCCCTTTTAAGTGCTTTACTTTTTCAAATTTAAAAAGTGTTTTTTGGGGGATTTTTTCAAACCCTCTTCAAAATTATTAGTTTGGTTTTAAAAGTTTGTCTTTGGGGAGTCGGTTTCGTGACTTTGGTTAACTCCAAAAAGTATTATGTTTTCTGTTTGGTTTTTTAAAATCATTTTTTATTGTCTTACAAAAATGAAGTTAAAAAGTGTACATTTCGATAGGAAGCGAAACCCCTAAATTTAAAAATTTTTTTAACTACAATGGTCTTTTTAAAATAAATTTAAAGGGTTTAAAAGTTTTTTATTTATATGAAACAACGCAGTAATTCAATATTGATCAATTGTATTTCTTTACATTTTTAATTTAAAATCTATTGGTTTTCTGTTCAATTGTTGTTAAAAAAAGGGGTTGCCATACATTTTCCCCCGTTTACAGTCGATTTGCTGACAGAAAATTTAAATATTAATATTATTAAAAATTACTTTAGAACATGCGTAAATACTCATATCAATTTCTTTTTTCTTCACTACAAAAGTTTTTTCATAAAAAAAAGCTCTTATTTTTGGGGAATTAAGATTTAATGTTAAATTAAAAAAGGGTATAAAAAAAAATTATTCTATTTGCAACCTTTTTTCCTCCTGAATTTTCTTTCAGAAAGACGCGCGAGGATCTTTGCCCAAACAGATTTTAAATTAAATTTCTTACTTACATTTTGAAGGACACCAAACATCGGCTACAATGCGATCTATTGAATAAATAATTTATGTAAAAAATCAGTTGTTTTTTTTCAATTTGTTTTCCTGTCAGAAAATTTATAGAAGGGATCGTGCGATTTAAAACGTTGACAGCTTTAAATATAAGAAGCCTTATTTGAAGTATTTAATAGGTAAAACAGATTAAACAAACAAGTCTTATTCTAATATCAAGTTTATACTTGTTCTGTTTATTTTTGATCTTTAATATGTAAATAAAATATATATAAACTAACTAAGAATTTTAGCACAAATGCATTGATGAATATTTTGAATTCAAATTTAGGGGTTGGTTTAAGTTAAATAAAAATTTTTAATTACCAAAAAAATTCATAGTAAAATTTAAAAGACTCTAACCAAAACAAATATACAAGATTATTCAAAAGGGTTTATTAAAAAAACGAGGAGGGGTTTTAAAAAGGTAAAGCGTGATAATTAAAAAGCAACTAATTTTTGTAGCTAATATTTTGCCGAAAAACATTTAATTATTAGCCGGGTTTATTCAGAAAAAGCAAGGTTAAAAAGAAAAAAGAAAAGAACAATTTTTTTTTCAATATGATTGAAATAACAGTTCTCGTCATTCCCCCAAAAAATTTGCTAATTTACGCAGGTGAAAAACAAAATAAAAAATTTAACATTTTTATTTATCATATAGTTATATTTTTCTATTTTTTATAAAGTGACAATTTGAAAAATTCTGTTTCAGGTAAAATTTTTTCCGCAAATTTTCTTTTTAAGCAAATTATATCAGAACAAGCAAATAAATAACGTGATCAATTACAAACAAGGGAAACAGTGTACTAATATTTTGCCCAAAACATTCATTTTTTCAGCTGGTTTTCCAGAATAGCAATTTAACCCCGAAAGTTATGAAATTAATGTGCAGCTAAAATTTTTTGCCAAAAAAACATTATTTATTTTTGCGTTATAAAATTGAAATATTAAAAAAATGCGTTATTGTCAATTTCGTGTAAAAAACAAATACATAAAAATTTTAATTAATGTTTGGTTAAAATTTTTGTCCCCGTTTTTTTTTTGGCTTTTTGTTTTAAAAATTTTGTTTAAGGCCCATGTGTTGATTTTTTTTCTCTTTTGGCGAAATAAACAACTCAACCTTTTTTTTGTTTGGGAGATAATGTTATACATTGAAAATATTGTACATATTATATTTATAGTTATAAATTTAAATGTTCCTATATTTGTATCAGGGAATGTCCCAATTTTATTTTAACATTAATAGGTAATTCCCCTTGAATTGTTCGCACTACATTTTGTCAAAAAAAACCTTTTCTTAAAACAAATATATAATCAACTGATGATACAAACTCTTTGAAAAGGAGGTTTTTGGGGGTTTTCAAAACCCTGTACAAGTAAACCGAACAAAAAAACAAATTAGTTTTTTTTAAGGTTCTCCTTTTTTAAAATAAAAAAGGGCCCCAGTTGTTATTGTTTTTTTAGTGTAGGTTCATGGAATCACTTCGTGTAAACCCCTTTTCGTAAGGGGTTTTTAGTCCCAAACCATTATTTGCAAAGATGTTCTTCATAATTGTTGTTGTTACATGAACCCTTAAACTATATACATCTTAAATATTATTCTAATCTAATTTGACCTCCAATGCAATTATTGACGCTATAAAAGAACATTATGGTTGAT